GAATCGTTTGCAGAGTTTTCAGCCCCCGTCGACAGTTCGACTGAGTTCCTGGACATCCCTAGCGAACGCTCCAGCTTTGGAGAGGCACCTCGTGAATCGTTTGCAGAGTTTTCAGCCCCCGTCGACAGTTCGACTGAGTTCCTGGACATCCCTAGCGAACGCTCCAGCTTTGGAGAGGCACCTCGTGAATCGTTTGCAGAGTTTTCAGCCCCCGTCGACAGTTCGACTGAGTTTGGAGACTTTTCCGCTCCAGCCGACGACTATGCGGACTTCACGCCGAGTTCGGTTGCGGATGCTTCGTCTGCCGACGACTTTGGGGACTTTGAATCGTCAGGCGTGACGTCGTTTGGCGATTTTACTTTCGTGCCACCTCCACCTCACGTTGCTTCTACACCTGTAAGTGCTCTCGAATTGAAGTGGATTCGACTCTTTAAATGCTATGCTAAGGTACCGTTTGATCAAGCCAAGATCACGTCGTTGTTGGCCCAAGGGTTTCCGATACTGTCGTCGACACGCCCTTCTTTGTTCTTGCCAACGACGAGCTCGAGCACAACCCCCCACCAAATCTTGGGCTCAGTGGATTTTGTAAGCAAATATTGCCCTTTTACCCAATATTTGGACTTTTGTGCTGATTCGCCAAATCTATCGTCGATCGATTCTTTGACTTTTGCATGTAAAGATCGTCCAGTGTCACACTAATTTCAACCACACACTAATTCAATGTTAAATTATTCGAAGAGTAGATATTTGATTGGCTAGTTGATGATGGTTTTGTGTTTTCGTTGGTCGATATATCGATTCTCTGCCGATTTGGTGCTGTCATTCGATTCAGTACCCAAACACTCCAATTTCGAATCGAATGAACTATATGTGATGTGCATTTGTACGAACACTTGTAAAATACACTCTTTATTGTAGGAAAACACGCAAAAGCCCATCGTGTGTACGTCGCTGCTGGACGTGTTGGTCAAGGACATCCACACAAACCATGTCAAGTGGGATGCGAGCACCGCCAGCGTCCGGGAAGAAGCGGCGTACGCGTTGCAGCAATGTAAAGCTACCCTCGCTCAAAAAGTAAACGAAGCAGTGGTGCACCATGCCTTGTTCTCGGAAACGTCGACTGCATACGCCGAGTACCAAAGCACGATCCACTCGTCCGACAGGTCGGCGATTTTGGCTGCATTGCGAAAGCTACAGCTCGACATCTTTGAAGACATGTCGACCAAGGCGACGCTGTCCATGGCGGAGCAGGCGGCGTTGTCTGCGCAGGCATCCATCGCCAGCCATGCCCAGCAGCACAAGGATAAAGCGCCGGGGCTGAAATTCCAGTTTGCTTGGCATTCAAAGGACAAACCCGACCACGACGACCGCGTGGCGTCGATTCGGGTGCTCACGCCCACTGGCGCGTCGATTTCCAAGTTACACCGCAACTCGTTCAGCAATATGCATGCAACAACGAACACGGCAAGCGGGGGGGGCAGCGAGGGCGAACACACGAGTGGCTCGGACGGCGACGGTGACAATTGGGAAACGGCCAGTGCCACGAGCGACTGCACGACTGGTGGGACGGCAGACGACCATCGTCCCAGCCAGCCGAGCCGGACGGGGTCGGGGTCGTTGGCGGGGGCTGTCACGGGCTCAGGTCTGATGAAGAAGCTGTCGACCAAGCTGGGCTTTTCGAGCCTACGATCCACGCTGTCACTAGCTTCAACCAAAACCAAGGTTGGCCGACGATACACATTCCGGGATAAGGTATTCAACCGTGGATTGGTTGTAGGTGGTGAGTTTATCGTTGCGGCGAAAGGGAGACAGCGCCGTGCGGACGTTCGACGCGCCCATGGACAGCATCAGCGGCGGCTTTGACGAACTCAAGTGGAAGTGCGCCGTGTTTCTGTACGACGCGGACGAAGTGGCCGCCGTGGCCCCGTCTCAAATCCAAGTGATCGGGTCGAATGGGGTGACCGTGTCATCCACAGACCGATTTGCGCTGCAAAAGCTGCTCAAAGATAAGGGCACCGTGTGGACCATCGACGTGGGCACCGACGCGAAAGAGTCGACAAGTGACACTTGACGATCCCTTGGAGTAGTCTGATAGAGATGTGCTAGCCACATGTGTGCAAATAGCATAACTATTGTATTTGTGACGTTATCTGTGGATGACTACAAGAAACCTAGTTAGTGGACGAGGAGTGCTTCATGCTTCGAAAGTAAACACGGAACTGCCGATGAACGACCCCGGCGTGGGCAACATGGAGTAAAGTTCGCTCGATTTGAGTCCGTCCACGGACAAGTCGAGGGGCGCGACCAGGTCGTTGGAGTGCGCTTTCTGCTTGAACCGCATGACGGATGGCTGCTTGTCCCGAACAAACGGGGGCGTGGGGATGCGCTGGTACATGTTGCTCGGGTTTTCGTCCAGCAGCTCTTGCAGTGGCAGGGGGAGGACCGAGATGGGCATCGTCGACCTGGACATCGTCATTGGCCCTGATTTGAACGACGCCGGCATGGCCATATCGCCCATGACAGAGTCAACGTGGTCGAGCAGCGAGTGCATTTCCTCGGCACTCGGATGAAAATGTTGTGATGGTGGGGGCTGCGGCTGCAGCACCGACGACGATGAGGGGGGTTTGCGGGGGAGATGGGGGGGCGGCGCCGACGGCGGCGGAGACGGATGCGACGGGCGGTTGTGGGTTTGCATGTGCGAATTCCTGTTGGATGCCTGGGCAAACGTCCGGTTGCACCCAGGGACCATGCACGCGAACGGTTTCAACCCCGTGTGCGTCCGCAGGTGCGTTTTTAGGTTGGCTTTGTACGCGAATTGCTTGCCACACCCGTCAAAGGCACACACGAAGGACTTTTCGCCTGTGTGCACCAGCATGTGCCGCTTGAGCTTGGCTCGTTCGTAGAACTTTTTGTCGCATCCGTCAAACGAGCACATGAATCGTTTTTCTTGGTGTGTCAACAAGTGCTTTCGCAACACCTACAAGTACAAAGAAGAGGGCTTGTCACATGGTGGCGGGGAATGCTCGAAAGGGTGCAAGTGGTCGCACCTTGCGGTCGGTCACGCTCTTGCCGCAGCTGAGACAGACAAACGTCTTGTGGCCATTGGGGGCCATGTGAATCGTGTGAGGCCCCCAAGTGTGCTGAGTCAAGTGATCTTTTAAGCTCTGGGCGTCCTCGAACACGTGATGACATCCTGGCTCTGTGCAAGAGTGAGCGGTTTCCAGGCCTGCCCCCCCGCCGTCGTCCGAGCTCGACTGATGCAGATGCTGGTGCGGAGGCATCTTCAGGGCGTTGGCGGCGCCACTGTAGAATGGCATCATCGGCCATCCCATGTCCTGCATGTACGCCATCGAAACCAGTAGATCTGCACTGCTCCGAGTCAAAGCGAAGCAGAGGTTAAAAATACACCAGCCCCAAAATAACTGCAGGCGTTCGATGGCTCAAAATAGGCACATGCAAGTCACTCTTGGATGACGGGAGCATTGGGCCATGAAGAATACTCAATGGGATCTTTTTAAATGACCAGGAGCAGGCTCCAAGTTGTTATGGTGGCGTGCACCCCCATCAACTGCTTTCCCGATGTTTGACATGTGTTGAACTTGTCAGACAGCACAGACATTTCATCCGTGTGACATTGCACAATGTTGCGAAACCGACAAGCGTTACTGTCACAAAAAGCCAGCATGAACAACGAAGCGGAAGCTCACGGGAGTGGCGATGCCGCTGAAGCATGGCGGTGAGATCTGTTAATACTCGGACAAAGCTGGTTTGGCTAGTAACATGAAATATGCAGAGCATTCGGAAGTGACACGGAAGCAGGTCGATTGCTCAAGAAACTATATTGTGGCAACAGCAAGCCTGTCATCAATTACCCCAGTACTGCACCCCGACTACTATGACAATACCCGTTCATTCAGTGGGTCATGTTTGTCCTAGAGGTGAAAACAAAGAAACAGCAAACTCCCGCAGGTCCTTTCATTCCTGGCGGTGGCGGCATCGGAGCCGACACCCGATCTAACAACTTGGCCGCGTCCAACACGGCTCGATCGATCAAAGTGCCTACTCTGGGCAACCAATCGACAGTATTTATGGTTCTCGATCGCAACTCTTCTCATGGTATGTTAGCATCAGTACCATGCCATCGACGTAATTCCCGCGCATCGCCGCCACAAGGATGTGATCGACAAAGAACTTGGCCAAATCAAGCGAAGCATCGAAGGATTTCGACCCTCCGTGGCCAGGTAAACGTACGCGCATCATTCCAATGTCCTCGCATAAGTGTGATTTTGGTTGATGTAGCTACCCTGGCTCTCAAGCGGAGAAGCAAAAGTTGCAGCAACGGTTCACATACGCTCCTGGCACCATCCTGCCTCAAGAAATGCTGCCCGGCTCAGGTAAGTGCATTCACCTGTCGAGATATGACAACCCCGTCCATAGACTTGCTCGACAAGGAGCTGACGCATTTGGATGCCAAGCGCGAAGGAAGGCCAACGACGTTGCAAGAGCTCAAGAAATTGCGGTCTCAAGTTCTCGGCGACATCGACTCGCGCAAAAAGTACATTGCCGATATGTCTGCGTTGGGAAAGAACGCCGAGACAGATCAGATGCATCACGACCTGCAGCAATTGCTGCTTGAATTGAACCAGATCAACGCTCTCATGAATCAAACATCGTAGACAGACGACCTTTGACAGTGAAATAACGTTAACGTTAAAAAACTCTAATTGTCAACCTACTTATTTTGACGGGAGACATATTATGACTGCATTCCAAAGTTATTTTGAACGAGGATTTGGGAACGAAACGAATTACTCCGGAGGATTAATATTACGTAGTAAATAGAACCTTCTAGACGTATTAATACTACTTGGAAGTAGTATTAATCACTATTTAAAATTAAACATAAATCTGCATTTTCTATAGCACAAAAATCGTATTTAATTTTACGGATGGATTAGCTTTTTAGAATTTAATTTCTACACTTATTGTGCTTTCGAGTGAAATTTCGTGTTGTGGCGTGGATTTGGAGGGACCGTCACCTCTCCTGGTTATTTCTGATAATTCTGGATATATATGCTTTCTGTTAGTATAGATACAAGCCTTCAAATTTGGGCAAAACTTTTAACGACAGTGTGTTTTGCCCGAATATAACCAGACCTCCCAAAACCACGGTGATGCTTCGAAGTATTGCCGATTTGATACAAATTTGGGGAGGGGGTGCAATCGAATCGCGCCGACCAAACCAATCCACAATTGATCTGATTGGTTGAATTTCATTGAGAAGGGTTTGATTGGATAATATTTTTGAGCTCATCTGAGGTAGCCAATCAAATCGATTTAAATTCCAACGAGAAATTCGTCGAAAATACCCGAAATTACTCCGGAGTACACATCAATTGGAGGTCTGGTTATAAAGGCAGTTTTACACAGTTGTACAAATGGGTTATACAAAACGTGGATTATAATGGGACCAAATTTAGAGGTGCGGTGGAGATGCTCTTACAAACATGTTAATTCTTTTAATAAAACTTATTTACTGCAACTGTACCTATGGCATGTACTTTACAGTAAGCTTACTGCTGTTATGCGTCTCCTTCATGAGGTGAGTGCCATGTACACTGTTTCAATCACTGGTTAGTTGTCGCTGTACTGCCAGGTCGGGTGGGTTGGACGGAATATCGACGTTTGGAATGCCTCGGGTCAATCAGTACTTTGTTGAAAAACACGTGAAACAACGACTGCGCGCCTCGAAAGTACGGGAATGCAGCCACAACCTCCCAATCAGTTTGAGATGGTACACAAACGGCACCCACGCCCACGCCCTGTGTAGGGGCCCGAACGAGTACTCGGCCACCGACACGACCGTATTGTCCACTCGTGGGTTCGGCGCTGGTTTCTGGCCAGCGTAACCAATGCCACGTGCCAGCCAGCATAGGAGCGGACAGCAACCGAAGGAAGAAGAGCCACGCGGTCATAGCGCTCCACGTTGCGAGCGCATTCTCTTGGAAACTTGCTCGAATCGCAGTACAATAGGTTGGCTGAGAAAATCTGGCCACGTCAAGTTCGAGAACCCGGAGTACGGAAAATGATTCCATCCGTCAAGTCATTCCACAGCCACTGCGGCTCGCTATTTCCACCGTGAGGCGTCGTGAGGGGTGTGAGCGTGCGCAGAGGAAGACGCAGGAGATGGTAGAATCAAGAATGAATTGATAGCGTTAAGACTAGTACGCTATCACTAAGCTATGCGCAACCAACCATTGATGTATCGTCGGGAGAACACCTTGGTTGCGCAAGAGGACGTGTTGGTCTGCGAAAAGACACCTTGGACTGAAGAGGTGTCGACTAGTCATCCGGTTAGTAACCGGGTGATGGGCATGGTTACACCCTCCCCTTCTTAAGACAGAACGTGTCATCATCACGTGGTAAGAAATGAGAGGGAACTATGACGTGACAGTTGATATTGGAGATGGCAGACGAATGCAAGAAGCGCAAGGCGAGCGAAATCGTCGAGGATGCCGACGACAGCGTGGAAGAGGCAGAAGCGACGGCGCAGCAAGTTGAGGTAGTGGACCTCACAGCCGAATCGAATGACGACGACAGAGCGGCGCCAAACGAGGACGCGGCCGAAGTAGCGCAGCGAAAGGCCGACTGGGAGGCCAAGGCGGCCGTGAAGCGCGTACGGCTTGGGCAGCTAGAGCAGCAAGCGGCTGCAGACTTGGTGAAAAGCGCCATGCAGACAGTGGGCACCGAAGGTGTGAAAAAGCTGCTCGAGCAGCACTTGGCACGGTAGGAGGCCGCCAAGAAGGCCGAAGAGGTTAAGGCAAAGGCAAGGCGCGCGGCAAAGAGGCCAAAGCGATCGCAGCGGCTGCGGCGAAGGCGGCAGACAAAGCAGCCAAGGAGGCTGCGGAAACAGTGAGGAAGGCGACCAGCGAAGGTGTGATTGGGACACCATCAGGCGATGGGGAACATCCCAACGCTACAGACATTGGGGGAAAAGAAGGAAAGGCGAGCGGCGAGGGAGCCGTCGTAAAGACGGAGTCCAAAGTGAAAGTCGAACTTGGTGGGCCGGAGCGGACCGGCCTTGCCCGAGACGAAGTGTTCGAGCGAGAGTTGGGGTTCCACTGGGATTGCTCTCGGATCTTCACGCCTACCGGGTGGGGTGGCGTGGACTCGGGGTACGTGCGCGATGTTACACGCTGTTTGACGGTGGTGGGCGAGTTCGACAAAACTCGCGACAATTGGGGATACCAGACGGCCAATGCTGCCGGCGTGGAACACCTGCGCTTGTTTGCAATCGCCCAATCGTTTGAATTGCGGGTGTTGTGGATGCTGATGGACATGGAATGCATGTAGCTTGCGAGGGTGAGTTTTCACCGGTTTGATGAGTTCAAGGGTGGCATGCGTGAGTTGCATGAACGGGAACGCCTGGAGCACTGGACTGTGGACGTGGGGCGGATCGAGCTTTGCAATGATGAAACATTGCTAGTGTACCTCGTAGCGTTTGTGTGGACGCTTGTCGGACAAGACAGCGGGCGGCATGGGCAATTGCCGCTGACAGCGGGGCGGTTGGCCAAGTCGCTGTCTAATTTCGCCGGGGTGCGGCCATAGAAGCATGGTTGGACGCACGCTCTGTCGCGCGGATCGCCACCCGCGTAAATATGCGGCGCGGACCTAAGGTAAATGTTCCTTGATATAATCCTCTAAATGCCAAGTTGTAGGGGGCCCGACTCGCACAGCGAACTGTCGACCCGTCGCTGTCCATCGCGATCCCACGATCGCGCTCGCGTGGGCGATCGGCGGTGCCAGGGTGCTCACCTCCTCGGGGGCAAGCGACGATGTCGGCGGCGGCGCAAGTGCAAGGGGCGTGGTTGACGCCAAGCTGGTTTCGGTGCTCCCTGCGAGCGCCTGGTCGAGCGTATGGGTTCGCCGACGGCGAGTTCCTCGACGTGGGCGCGCGAAGATGCGCAGGTGGCAGCGCGATTGTCTGCGGCGCGGCCGGTGAATCCGTTTGCGGGGTATAATCCGCCATTGGGGTCACAGGATGGACAGGGTTATCGGGCTAGGGCGCGAGCGGTTGCGGCGCCGCAGCAAGTGCTGAGGCCGATGTCACAGACGGCAACACCTGGGGCGCAAGGGGAGGAGGAGAAGTCGATGGCGGCGGAAGAGGAAGAGCCGCCGCGGGATCCAGAGGATCGTTTGCCGTCGCTTCATCGGTCGTAGATAACGTTTGAGTTTACCCACATATAATGTTGGATGGATCTACCATCAGATGGGCAGGTCGAGCTTGTAGTTGGTGGGACTGACCACGCGGAGGACGGTAAAGGGGCTGTACCAAGCACTGCGTAGCTTGACGTTGGAGGACATTCCAACCGGCCGGGTGCGGGTGGGTACCGCCGACTTGTGGAGGAGAACTTGTTCGCCAACGGCCAAAGACGCGAGGTTAGAGCGGCCATGTTTGTTGGCTTGAGTTGATTGGCGCTGCTGAGCGGCAGCGATGCTGTCATGGATCTGTTGCATGACAGAGACGCGACGGGAGAGGAAACTCTGAATGGTTTGGAGAGTGCGGCTGGGGGCGTTGGAGAGTACGCCTGCAGGAGGGAGCCGCGTAGTGATTCCACTCCCACTGGAGATCGAACCGTCGAGCATTGGAGGGAGGCGGGGGTGTTGGAGATGGACCACATAATGCGGCGAAAAGCCAGTGGACGCCTGAACCGAGGCGTTGTAAGCGAAAACCACATGCTGTAACGAGGTAGCCCACGAGGAACCGGTAGAAACGGAGTAGCTCCGAAGGATATCTTCGAGAACGCAGTTGGCCCGTTCCGTTTGGCCGTCGGACTCGGTGTTGTCCGAAGTCGACATGTCGAGCGAGGTGTCGCACAGGGCGAATAGGGTGGACCAAAACTTCGCCGTGAACCGCGGGTCGCGGTCCGAAACGATTATCGAGACAGGCCGACGCGACAGAAAACGTGGTCGAAAAAGAGGCGAGCGGCGTCCGCGCCGCTCAGCGTGTCCCGTACGGGGATAGCAATAACGTATTTTGACGCGCCGTCGACACAAACCATGATGCCGGTTGCCGCGGGCGTCGCGCGGCAGGCCAAACATAAAATCCATGCTGACGGACGACCAAAGTTCGTCCGGAATAGGCAGAGGTTCGAGCGGAGCCCGAGAGGAAGCGGTGATCTTCGTGCGCTGGCAAGCGTCGCAGTGAGCGACGTAGTACATGCGGGGCCACCAGTACGAACGCGCCAAGACCGCGTGCATTTTGTCGCGGCCAAAATGGCCGCCAATGGGAGAGTCATGGTACGATCGAAGGACAGTGTACGCGTCACCGGGCACAACAATGCGCGGGGGCAAGTCCGCGGTGGGTTGGAACATCAAAAGCCCATCAGCGAGGGCGAAGCGATGTAAGGCCGACGAAGTGCGGCGAGGTTTGGGGGAAACGAGGTCGGTGAGCGCCGCCAGGCGAGACGAGCAGTCAGCGTCAAAGGGGTACGCCGCATGAATTCGATCGTGAAGGCCCGACGTCAAAAGACCGATCGTGGTCAGCTCGAAATCCGGACGCCGCGACAGGGCGTCGGCCAGGATGCTGTCTTTCCCTGGCTTGTACTGAACCGAAAAGGTGATTTCGGAGAAGAACGAAATCCAGCGCGCCATGCGCTGCGAAAAGTGCGGTGTGTTCGTCGCCGTGCGTAAGGACGCATGATCGATGTAAACCACGATGGGTTTACCGCCGAGGAGGTAGATGCGGAACTTGGTTAGGGCGTACTTCATGGAGAGAAGTTCCAAGTCGTGGACTGGGTACGCCCGCTCAGCCGCGTGAACTTGAGTTGGCGGCTTTGGTAGGAAACCGGGCGAGGGCGACCGGAGGCGTCGAGCTGCATCAGGCAGCAGCCAATTGCAAACTGCGAGGCGTCCTTGAGGAGAAGCCGAAACAACGGCTGGTGATGTCCGCAAAGTTTTGCGAGTATTTGTGGAGGTACGTCGCAAGACCCAGCCAGCGACGAAGATCCTTGACGGAGGAGGGAATAGGCCACTCCGAAATGGCCTTGAGCTTTCGGGATCAGTGAGTAGAGCGCACCGCCGCCACCTTAGCAGGGCCACTCTTCACCGCCTTGAAGATGTACGTGCGGTAGTACCCCTTCGCAAAATCTTCCTTGCGCTTTGGGCAGTCCTTCTTCATGTGCACCTTGGCACCTTTGTTGTACTTGCCGTTACAGTAGGAACATTCATTCTGGCCGCCATCCGATTTTCGCTTGCGCTCATTGGCCAGAATTTGGCTAACCGGAAATTCGGATTTGTTTAGGGATTTTCCAAATCCGGTTGACATCGACAAAATGTCCTGCTTACTTTTGGACCCAAACGAGTTCACCACCAACTGAGACAGTTGTCCATAGTGAATGAATCCTTGGTGAACTTAACTGAGGACCCAAAGTACTGCTGGGGGGAGCACCCACTAACTGCTCCAACACAATTGGCTCGCCGAAGCACTTGACGATCTTAGCGTTGATCTTGTTCCGTAGGGCACTCATTGCCTTAACGTGGTCATCCACATGGCGGTAGTCGGACGTAAGGGTACCGACGAACTTAGTGAGGAGGCCAATGACACCCGCCGCGCTCGACTCCCCAAAATCGCGTTCGAGCATGCGCCAGATCTCGGTGACGGTAACGGCTGGGTCAATTAGGGATATGTTGAGCTGGTTAAGATAGCTCTTCGGTAGGGTTTTGGACTAAAAGTGAGCGAATCTCCACGTTTTGTAAATCCCTAAGGAGGGTGGCCTCCTTTAGGGATTCTTCCGTTAAGGTATCCAGTAGCGCATCCGACACACCAGTAAGCCATGACTCGTAGACACGTCACACACGGCACGCTTGGCGTTTTGGGCGTCAATGCGGGCCTTAAGCCAACGCTTCTGCAGCTCACCACGGAAGGCGTCCATCCAGCTTTGGAAGTCATCACGCTTGCCACTGAATACGAGGATGTCGGCTTGTCGGAGTTCATACTTGAAGTATTAAGATGAACGCGGGCAACACAGTGGTGGGGTTGAAAGGGGTAGGTATTAAGGTGCTCAGTTAAAGGGCAATTCCAAAGTGAACACAAGCCTCTGCTTCATCGCACCAACTTAATGAACTATCGCTAGCTATGACGTCACGTGACACTGACGAGTGTCAAATGGAGAGCAGCCAAGCCCTGAATAATATAGGCCTGTGTCATGCAGATCACTCAAGATACATCTATAGACGATGCTGGCCGCTCATTCCAATGTAGTGACCTAATGCAAGCGACATTACTGATGTCTTACATTTTAATCAGTATGAAACTTTGTATGGGATTCATCCGGAATAATTTACGGATAAGATTGAATTAACACTGATATTCAACACGCAGCTTCGATTTCTTCATACGTGCGCGTTTTTTTACGTCCAGAATTCCCTTAAATAGTCAAACTTTAGAATTCCATATTTGTCATAACTAATAAGAATATAGAAAGAGAGAGGATTACCGCGAATGTTCGACGACACCGTCAGCACATGTGCGCCCGGACTTCACGGACTTCTGTCCGCGGGTCCATAGGCGTGACACAGTCAACGGATGACATCCAAACTGGCCAACCACACGGGACAACGTTCCATGGGGCAGTGAGCCGCCGGACGAGAGCGCCAGCAAAGTCTCGTACATGCGTGACGCTCGTCGTCACGCAGGTGCTTTTTGCCACCGTTTGGCCCCGTTTGGGGCTGCGGCGGGGAAGAAGCGTTGGCGGCCAGTGTCGAGGGCATAGTAAGCAGCAGTGAAGAGGTTATGTGGTGCGAGGGCGATGAACAATTGTATTTTGATGTGTGTGTCTGTGATGCCAAAGTTTGGCTAAGATAACACGTCATTTTTGGTGCCCAATATCGCATGGACCAAAGGGCTTTAGAAAGCTCAAAAACTACCCAATCAAAGCAGGAGTCTTGCGCTTTCTAACGCACCAATTACCTTGCAGAATTATGGATGTTTAGAAAAATGCCGCATATTAGAAAGTGCACCTAACAACTATTTCGGACCAGATTAGTACATGATGTTGGTGCCTGGGGCAATATGCTTCTTGCTGAGGCGCGAGATAGTCGGTTTGTCCTGTCCTGTCCACTTCAATTATGACAGCGAACAATTTCTTCTTGTCCGGTCCACGCCACTGAACACCCAGTACTCTGGATAGTGCCTTCCGCAGTTGTACTTGCTCTTCTTCTGGACGTATCGTCAATCTCGACGGTGACAACCGTGACACCTTCACCTCCAACCTATATCACCATTAAGACGACCGGACGTAGGAACTATATAGGCTATGTGGAGTATATAGGATATGCAGGATATGTAGGATATATACTGTAGTGTATATAAGTATCATCATCGGGGTGCGAAGCATTTCTGATGAACGCAGCCCGCGACAGTAGTTGTACCAGTCCACGCCGGTTTCACGCGAGATTCTTCAGATTCTTCATCTGTCATCACTATGGCGAGGGGATTTCTTGATGCTAACGCGAACAGCGCTGGGAACAACTAGCCATGGAACCTTTGAGCCCTTGAACCGCGGCCCAAAACGCATGCCCTTCTCGACGTTACCTACTGCGAACAACATAGACAGGCCGCATTTGGGGCACATCACGGCGTTCGGAAGTAGGCCTACCTTCATACACCACACTATACACGTGGCTTCGTCAGCCGTGGCCTTGAGGACTGACAGCCACGAAAATTCGTCAGCGTCGGCCAGTCGAATGCCAAAAGGCCTTCAGGCAGTGCGCCACCAAGGTCGACTTGGTCCAGGGCTTGGTCAAGCCTGTCCTTCGTCTTCCATCCAGGCTTGCCACTTGCGCGAATGGTTGCCAAAGTCATTTTTGTGGGCGTGGGAGAGTTATCCGAAGCATAATGGATGTTTTCCAGACTATAGGAGCGTGCAATGCATACTGCCAACTGTATTACATACAATTCTAGGTATAACTATGTCGTATATATAACTATATTGGTATCGTCTATATATGATACAGTATATTACATAGTCTATATGAGTATAACTATATCGTCTATATAATCTACGTACTAGTAGGCTATATATGATACAGTACGTAGTCTATATAAAATACAGTATACACTATTTCGGTTTTTGTACACAACTATATAGATACGCACTATAAAACATATATAGACTATACACTACATATATTATACAGTAATTTGTATAGTGTATAAACTATATTCGTGCATCATACCATGAAACCAAATAGATTGATCAGTTCTGTTTAGCTTTCTTCGCTCCTGGTCTTTTCTTACAAGCAGCGGTAGACATGGAGAAACGGGGCCACTTGGATATAACCCCTGGTCCATTTTTTTGCCAAAACGGGAATTAAAATACAACCGAGTACCACTATTAATGGATGAGCTCCACTGTATGCTCAGGCACCACACCTGCACGTCACAAGTAATTTGCAACGACGAAAAAACAACAGTCCCTGCTATTGGCCTCATCTCGGCTGGAACAGCAAAATTTACCCAGTGAAATGAATAGGAAATAGGTAAAGCCCGTGGGATTTGACCAGTTATAGAAAGTCAGTGTGAGCGCGATTTATATTTTAAATTCCGCTCACTTTGAATTGCTGCAACTGGCCACCCACCCGCGATGTATGACTTGTCGGCACTGGACGGCTTCACGTACCGAACCCTGCTGGAAATCACCCCTTCCGAAGACGCTTGTGCGTTGTGGTGTCGCCAAGTTGGCTTTCTGGACGGGTCAATGGCGTGTCCAACCTGCGCGAAAAACATGATGCTATCGATGACGAAGAACGGTTGGCGCTGGCGGTGCCAGAAGAAGCCCCACACCGACCGTCCGAAAAGTGCACCCGCGCTGGCTCGTTCTTTGCTATGCCAAGTTAACAATAACGCTGTTGCATCTATTATACGCGTGGGCTTCGCACAAGCCATCGAAGACTGTCATGGAAGAAGGAGTGTCGACTGACACCTTGTGCATTTGATACAGCTATTACCGAGATATTTGCTCGGCCAAAATGCTTGCAAGCGAAATGAAGGTAAACTGCTACAATCATTTATTCGTATAAATTGCTAACCATTATTATTGATCTAAATTGCCATCTAACTGTAAATTGCTTACAAATATTTTTATCTAAATTGTTTATTTATGGCGCTAGATTGGCGGCAAATGACATGTCATTGAATTCGACAAGACGTCGTTGAAAGAGGAGTCAAAGTACGGTCATGGCCATGGTGAAGTTCACCAAAGACTGTTGGCTATTTGGTGGTGTCGATCGGGCAACCAAGCGGTGGTTTGTCATATTGGTCGGTGAGGACCGCACGAAACTGACGCTCTTAGCATTGATGAAGAAACACGTACGACCCGGAACTCTGATTATGTCGGACAAGTTCGGGTCGTACGTGTCCACGAACGTAGCCCATTCTCTCGCCAACAACAGGTACCTTCAAGACATCAAGTATGGGCACCAATGGGTGAATCACACTGACAACTTTGTTGGCCCCACCACTGGTGCACACACCCAATGTATCGAAGGTATATGGGAAATCAAGTTAAGGGACATATCAAGACCTTGCGAGGTATGGTGCCTGGCCTCTTACCTCCGTTCTTGGACGAATGTCTGTGGCGCAGCTGGTACTTTCCGTCGGGAACCTCGGGCACAACCTATTTCAAAGGGTTAGCCGTGTGAATTAAAAAGAAGTACGGTCATGCAGAGTTGTAAAACACAGCGGTACTCGTTTCTCTTTTTGTAATTTATTTTAAAAAATGGACCAGGGGTTATACCGAAGGTGCAATGCATGGAGCGCTGCAAAGTGGATAGCAAATATACTACTACTACATCTCTTTGCGGTTAATTTCATCTATTTTTCACTCTATTTCGAATAGCTTGCAGTACATTTCACCAGACCACCGATATATTTCGGTTACCTCCATTTAATTTCGTTGCAAACTTCACGTTAACATTTTACCAAATCAGTGAACAGTATATAATCAACCAACTATCGATTAATTCAGTTTTCGTCAATATCCATCATCAACGCATGTTTCTACTTGTTTGACCAATGACTGAACGTTGGAACACCGGTTGCCTAGGTTGAAATCGTCAAAGTTAACCTCGTAGTTTCGGACAGCAGATCCGCCGTGCATTGGGCTCCTCTGACATGTGCACAAGTGATGTCGTCGAGAGGAGCGTAATGCACAGCGGATGTGCGTTCACGCGACGACAGGCCGACGTACGACAGTAGTGGAATTCTTAATTATGCACCGACGTTGTCCTTGTAAGTGCAGATGGCACAGACATACCAGATGCACTTACAAGGACAGCGTCGGTGCTGTAGGATGCGATGCGACAGGTGTTGTACAAGATGGCGACGTTCGGCGGTGTGGCACAGTGCTGGCAGCTGCTTTCTGAATGAAGCTCCGAAAGGTCGAAGCGCACGAAAACGAGACCGTCGATTGAGAGCCAGTAGAGAACATACATAGTCATACATAGCTGGGCAAAATATATCGCCTGCTGGGTGAAATATACTGACGAATACTGAAATTAAACGTTATTTGATTCAAGTATACCGCTGGCTTGGTGAAATATAAACGTGAAGTTTGAGGTGGCCACGAAGTTAAATGGAGGTGGTTGAAATATATCGGTGGTCTGGTGAAATATACAGCAAGCATAGCGCGATAGTAAAAAAGCTGAAATTAGCCACAAAACGAAGTACTACAGGGAACGACGCTGAGTAACGGCGTGATGGGGACTTGTGATTGGACAGAGAGGCGGTTCGAATTGGCCAATTGAGGATCACAAAACCAAAATATAAAAAAAGTATCGAATGAAAAAATGAGCTGTGAATATAAGATTACAAAGGATATAAATATAAAGCGTAATTAGTACTAGGAAGACATCGATGCCATGGTTTTCAAGTTCTCATTCTTGCAGGAAACTAATTATCACAAGGGATCAAGGTCATAAAAATGCCTATTACACATAATGCGCGACACATATAGACTGTGGATTTGCACCTCCCATGGGGACCAACAAAATGTGACATGACCGCTTATAAAAATACTATAATTTAATACTCTATTC